TGTCTGCCCTCGTACTCCGCCAGTGCCCCGCTCTCCTCGAGTCTGGAGCCTGTGATGCTGTTAGCCTCTGCAGCTGCTTCCTCATCCCAACGCCTGAAGTGATCGGTGCCAATAAAAACCTAAAACAGAGGAAGCAAAACAAAACTCAAGAAAAAGCTCTAAATAAAAGGAGTGATGATTTCCTGCAACACTCAAGCAACTTGAAAAATAAAGCACCTGGGAGGCAAACGGAATGAGTGGAATGAAAAGGAATTGATGGAAAGCTGAAGAGGAGTCTAATCATTCAGGAGAGCAAGGGAAAGGTGTATGATGGACGTTTCCACATCCTTTCTGGGTAGTCAAGGAAACAGTTTTTATTGGTCTGATGAAGGAGGCTGTTCACTCACTGAACTTCTGTCTCGCAGTTCCCAGGTTAACGGTACTTAGACTTCTCTGGGTCCCCAAGTGCAGTGATCACTTTTTAGAGGATGGAGGCATGCACTTCTCCCAGCTCCAGCCAGGGGCTACTAACTCTGCCCACACTTACTATCTAAACACACTAGTTACATTCCAGTTACCTGCAACTCTGCCTAATCAGGTCATTCAGTGATGAGAGATCATTGTTAAAACAAAGAGAAAACTCTTTGGAGTTGAAATATTTCAGAGAAAAATTTCCTAAAAACCCCCAGACAATCTACATACATGTCTAATGTCCATAAAGCTTATTATTAGTAGTATATTTGTGAAGCCTCGAAGTGTCTTCAGCTTCTGTGTCTGGACTCCACCACCAATTTCTTCTGCCCCTTCCCAAGAGTCTCATTTCACAGTGCAGTAAGCACTTGATCCTTCAAACTCCCAGCTGTGGTAAAACAGCTGTGCAACCTTAGGTTTCTAGGAAAAAGTATTTATATCGAAATTGCCTCTGATGTAAAACCTTGCCTTGGAATTAGCTAGAGGTGCTGGATCCTTAATCACTATGTGGCTTCCTGCTCGTTATTCCAAAAGCACTCTGTCCAGAGCAATATGCCTTTCCTCTTGGAAAGCCCAATAGCTGGGTCTAACTGTTCTGGGCTAACACTGCCACATGCAGTCATGGCGTATCAGCCCTCCTAAACTGCACAGCAAGTACCCCATGCTTTATTTAAAAAGCCCACCTACCTTTACAACCATTTTAAGCAAAGATATTCCATAAAGGCTCAACACACAGGATCCCTAGAAGAAGCAGTATTTTTACAGGGTAAACATGCTATTTCTTATGTTGACAGGTCAAAACTTCTAACAGATATAATGGTTTTCTGCAGTTACCTCTACAGCACATCGAGATACACTTGGAGAAACTTCTCCCAATTTTTTTTTGTGCTGGGAGATAACACATTACAAACTTGTTGGGGAAAAGATTTGTAAGACTGTTTTTACAATTAGGAAAAAGGAAACTGAAGTTAGGATAAAATATCTTTGAAAATCTCTCTGTAAAATAAAAATAAGTTTATTTGATGAAACAGTAATTTTACAGACAATTATAATACAATTTACTTTGGACGATGCCTTAAGGCTCATTTACTTTATTTAGAGAATTACCTTCTATTCATCACCATGGCATCTGAGTGCCCCCTGAATAGACGCTGATTTGTTCTACTAACAAGGACCCCATTTGCCATGTTAGTAGCTGGAGTATTCGAGTGCTGGGGTTTCTGCGAACCTAAGCCAAGAGGGGTTTATATGTGGAAGAATTTGGAAGGGCCTATCAGCTTAGTATTTTGAGAAAGTAACATTATTTAATGCTACTCTTCACACTCCTGATAGCAGATGGGTGGAAGAAAATGACCGATGGCTGGGATTGAGAGTAAGGATAATGATGAATAATGCAAGAAATACAACTCAGCACCAAGTCAGATGAGTGGTTTTATCTGTCATCTATTAGAACTCATACAGAACTGTTCATTCAACTTTCTGCTTATAATTGTGTTTGGCAACATCTTCAGCAGGTAGGCTGTAGAGAAGTGCATTTGTAGTTTTGTGAAAGAATAAAAGACAAGTCACTTTGTTAGATTTATGCTTATGTCTGTGCTTGTGTAAGTATATATCTGTGTGTATATATATACACATATGTATGAAACAGAGATTAAACAGATGTTTTTCATCTGTTAGTATTTGAAAAGTACATTGATGAAACTAAAAATCTGTTGTGCAGAATCTAAAGAAAAAGGTTTTGCTCTTTGTAATAAAACAAATCTAACAAGATAGAGTATCTCAATTTTATCAAAAGAAAGTAAAATTCATTTTCTTTTCAACCAAAGTTGCAAAACTGTAAAGCTCAAGGCCTCTACCTCTTATTTGACTTTGAATACAGAGCAGCGATGTGTGACCAGCTTCTTTCTCTTGTCCTTTTTTCATGTCAATATGATTTATAACACCAGGGCCCAGATTAGGATGGTCTTCCTCCAAACACACAACTGCCATTTGAGCTAGAGAAAGGCTGGCACACAGCACGGCACGCAGGAATACACCCCCAGTCTCTAAAAGACCATACTCTGTTGCAAAAACTCTCTTACAAAAACTAAGTTCCTTACTTCCTAAACCAAGGAAAAGAATTTTGCAATTTAGCCATCAGAGGGAGCTCATATGTGGCTTAGAAAAAACACGGAATAATTTGAAATCTTTTATGGAAAGTTATTAAGCAAAGACAATAACATTGGAATAGGACTGACTTGAGCCATCCCAGGAAATCCAGGCCTTATTAGAGTTTTTATTTCACTGAAAGTATATACAACACAGAGTTTGATTTTTTTTTTGCCTAAAATTATGATGTTTTACAGAGTTGACAAAAATTGCATGACTTGGCCAAGCATCTGTTAGCATACTCTAAGCAGATACAGTTGCGTCACAAATGTAATACAACCAACAGAAAAAGGAACCTAGAGTTTGCCTCCTGAGCCTGTACACAACCGAGTGCTCCGACTTAACCACTGAGCCCCCTGTGGCTGCTGCCGAAAGCTGATCTTCAGTATTTCTAGTAACTTGCTCCTCCTTGCTATTGAATTTCTGACCAAGTTCCCATCATCCAGACCTGTGCAAACAGCAGTTTCTGCACAACTGCCGCTGAAAGCGTGATTTGCCATGCTGAACTTCTACGAGAGGTGCTGATACACGAGAGGGAAGGCACCCACCCTTACTCACATGGCATCGACAAGAAAACCTCTTTTAAACTGGTGAACCTATTTGGCAGGTATGCCTGTGAGAACCGGCGAATGCGAGTATCATAACACAACATACGTAGTCACCCTTCAGCAGAGGGCTGTTGTTTACAACACACTTACCTGCAAGACGCAAGAAGTTAGGAAACTGCCTCCTGCTCTGTGACTTGTGCAAGACAGCATCAACCATTCAGAGCACAAGTACCACCAATAATGACTTAAATTACATTTTGTTGACTGGTAAATGGTTATGTACAACAACTAGTAAGATCTCTCCTATCGTGTATGACTATCTCATTGAGAACTGACAAATGAAAATGTGCAGCGACCGCCCAATGACTTCTCACACAGAAATTGCGAATTTCTCCACAAACCAAACAGCAGACCTCGCTTAAATCAAGAAATACACTCAAATATTTTAAGGAAAATAGAATTTTTGAATGGTTGTTCTGACAATAGCCATACCATGAAAGCCAAACCCTAGGCTTTGTAAAATCATAACTTACAACTCCACAGCCTGAACTTGGCCAGAAGAAACAAGCTACGCAGGCTGTTTAAGGCAACCCAATTGGAAGATTAAACACATGAAAAACATGCTGAGTGGTTATATGTATGACACAGGCTGAAAAAGCTCAATTCTGCATTTAGACAGCAGAAGTCAAGCACTGTATGGCCACTAGATACTGCTCTGTACTTTGCTCTGCAGCCTATACGCTCCAGAGCGGATGCTTGCCCACTTCACCTTAAAATTTATTTTAAACTAGTTGCAGTGCAGCCTGCTGCAAAATGACTTGATGGCAGTAAGATGGTCTGACTCAATTTTGATCTTGTTATATTGCTAAAATGCACAGTACCAGGACTTGCATCTTTGATAATCCACTTGTAGTGCACATCTCCACTCTAGCACTTCACAGTATACAGACTTAATCTGTTTCATATGCAATTTTCATTAACCCTTTGCTGGACTCTTGCTCTGGTCCAACAAGGATGTCATACTCACAAAGATGAAAGGGCTGCTTTGTGGTTGAAATTTATAGTTCCTGAGCCTCAGTTTATGTCTCCAATTCATCTGAAAATATGATAGCTAGAAAATGTATTTTTTAAAGAGACTCACTCAAGATTCCTGAAACTGCTGAAAGCTTGAAGAGAATTTAGCAAATAAACAGATTGACTATAATCTCAGTAAAACTGGTAGCAGTAATTTGGAACCCAAAAGATGGAACAACACCGAATTAAAGGACAACGTTGTCCCTTCAGCTTTGTTTCTCCTGTCTAAACTGAAAAGTGAAGCTGCAGCACCACAGAGGAATTTTAACATGTCTCTGTGCCTATCAGATCCCTTCTGCAGCACTGAAGGAACAATTTGGACACCTAATTTAATTGAACAGAAAGTTCAATAAAATCTGCAATTGGTTTTACGTTATTTTGGATTAAACCTCATGTCGATAGCTCTTTATAGCTTACTGTGATTTTGGGACACATGAAACCTTGCAGAACAGGTTTTCCACTTGTTTGAATTTGTTCTTATTCTCCACCTGTGATTAAGCAGTTAATTGGCCATACAGCCATTTGCAGAGGTCCCAGAAAACACAGTACTGATCCATCCTTGATCTTCTAGGGTCAGCAATAGATTAAACGATGACTAGAACCTGAGGTGGAATTTGGACGTCCCAACCCCACTTTTAATCAGCTTTGACCTCAGTCCTAAGGAGCCCAAATCCATTCGTATTCAGCATCCTTCTGCACCTCCACAGCCTCTACCTTGATTGCACAGAAACTTCTGTCATTCCTTTTGATGGTCATTGTAACTATTTTTTCCTTCTACAGGAGTCAGACAGACCTCAGCCTTTATTACATGGGTGAAAAGAACAGGACCTAGCACTGTTTTCATCAACTCTACTGATCAGGCTGAAGCCACTGTACATGCCGATGATTTGTCAGTGATTGGCTTTTTTAAGGTAATTCACTGGAAAACTCTAAAGGCTGGTTTCTGTTCTGACTTCGGGATATACTGCTTGCCATCATCACCAAATCCAAAAGACCGAGAACTCACCTGAAAAACCCAGGCACTCAGTTTTCCCTGGGTTTTTAAAAATTTGTTTCTATCTGTATTTTCATCCTTCTAGATACGTGGTCCAGGCAGAGATAAGAACATCTCACACCACAGCACTTTTCCTGAATACGTACCCAGGCGCAGAGACCTGCCGCTCCTGAGAACAGCTTCTGAGAGTGTGATGCTACAGCAGTGTTTGCACAGCCCTGGTCACAGCAGGCTTTCTTATATCCTCAGAGAGAGGGCTTCTGCCAAGCCACCCCAAATTTGGTGACTTTTGAGAAGAGGGCAGAACTATTGACCCACCTATCCTTACTTTTAACTCCATCCTTTGGAGAGACTTAACTCATTGCTGGTGTGGGTTATACTGCTGCTGGGGTCTCCAAATGCAAAAAGTTGTAAATTCTGCCCAGAGTTGTAACTGATCTAAAAATCTAAGGTTTCCTGATCACTGCATTTCAGTTCAAACACAGTGTAAAATCACAGACATGAATAGTTGCAGGCTGTTCTGGTGAAGGAGTTTTCCCTTCCTGCTTAAGTCCGTTAAAAAAAACAGTAAATATTGTCTAACATACCAGAGTGCCTTTCCCTCATCTTTCCATTTCATGATTTAAACAACTTCAGTGAAACTTGGGGGGGGCAGAGCACAGCTCCATGAATATCATGCTAACTACGGTTTTTAGCTATTGCCAGCTAAGAAATCTGCATGGATAGGAAGTCATAAAATATTACACTGTACATGAGTTGGATCATATATATAGTCCTTTCTCAAGCAAAGTCCTACTAAGTTCACAGAGCTGAATAAGGTTCTTAGGATTTGGGGGTGAATGATACAGAACAATAATCAAATAGTGTAAAATAAATTTCGGCTATCAAGGCATGCAGTTAGAAGTCAGTAAAATAGGAATCATTTTTTCCTGCTTTTTCCAATGTGTCCTTGAAATCTTTAATATCTGAAACATTGAATCAAGGATTTCCCTAACTAAGGAGACTTTTATTCTGGTATCTCTCTGCCCAGTTAAAAGCACAGTGTCTGGACTCTCACCTGAACTGATAAGCTCCTAAATGTGCTGGCTACAGTGGATAGTCCAAGTTTTACGGCTGTGGAAAACAGGATTCATTACCGAAATACCCCACAGTAACAGAGCTGGTGAACACAACAGCATAATAGGATGAACTGTGAAAATGCTCACAGTGCCCAGAATAAACTTTGCAGCAATCTGCTTGCAGCCGTTTATGTAGGAAGACAGTTTTCCAGTGCTGGATCAGACTGAAAAGCCCTTGCTATCTCAGTGATGCTGTAGAGCTCCCTGAACCATGCTGACAGCAGATATTGCCTGCAGATGTGTTTGGCTGGACTCTCATGTCACTCAGGAGCTGAAATGACAATAAATGAGCATGAGCTAGGACATGTCAGGAACTGAATGAGTGGAAGCCAACAAAATAGTGACCAAGTAAATAAAGAGCTGTATTTGGCCTTCTATTAGTCACAGATTGCTCACAAATGTGAGTGCCAGGATGTGTTGGGAGGTCTCAGCACATAAATTACTATTCATCTAGCATGAAATATTTGTCTGATTAAATCAAATCGGGAAGTGGTGTTGCCTTTCATCATGCTTATTTACTGTTAGTTTGAGGGTGGACAGCACAGTGACTATTTTACAGATGTAGGAGTCAAGGTCCCTGCCTTGAAGAGCACTCAGTCAAAGCACCAAACACACCATCCTGTCCTCTTGCAAGCAGAGAGCCCTCCTCTCTAATCCATCACGTCCTGGCAGCTGTGCAGACCAGCTGGGGCAGGGGAGCAGCTGCTGGCAAGATCCTTCCCCATCTGCAGAAGTGTGGAAATGCCAGGGGAGCGCAGGGCAGAGGAGATTAGTGCAGGGAGGACACCGGAGGCCATACGCCATCTATCCTGACCCAGCCCAGCCCAACAGTAGCTAGAAAGGTGAACGCACTAGTGGTGTCACAGCACTCCTAGGTTCTCCCCTTGGATGTAATCATAGCAAGCTACACCCACTTTACAATTACACCCTCTTCTCTACCGCACAAGCCTTTAGGGGCCTGCCTCACCTGCAGCTCTCACTCCCACACATCCTGGCAGGATGCAGGACAGTCTTAACAAATACTCTTTCTGGGACTAGGAACCTCACAATGACAGTGTGGAAGTTTTCTGTGGGATGGCAAGAGATGTCCCAGAGATGGCTTTTGGGCTGACAGCCAGTGACAATGTCTGTGCTAACTACGGCATCCAGAAGAACACTCTTGGTGTTTTAAAGAGGGCAGAAATGAAAGCCTAGCCAGCAAGGTGCAGTGAGCTGCCGTGGCAGCTCTGGGCTACGGAAAGGCAGTTTGGGAATATTTTGGGTTAAATAATTTCCTAGTTGAAATTCAAACAGCTGAACACAAAAAATATTGCATTTACAGACAAGAGAGACAAGCAGGAGGCAAACAACAACCTTTGGACAACTGATATTTTCAGTCTGGCTGCCTACATTCAGGCTCCTAATTTATAGTTAAGGATCTGGATAAAGTGGCTTTATTTTCCAGCCCACGTTCTAATCAACACATGCTGCCAGGTTCAGTGAGTTTCGCTGACATTCACCTCTTTCCTTTGTGTTCCTTCTGGCCAAGGAATCTTCTTTTCTTCCAATTCACAACAGAAGAAGTGGCCAACAAGAACAAAACTACACAGAAGCAGCACCAACAGTTAGGCTCTGAAGTTGTCAGACCCAGGACATCCTGAGTGAGCGTATGTCACAGTGTGTACAGATACAGAAAAGATCTTTCAGTATGTTAAGATTACTGAGCAAATTAAAACTGTCAGCTGTACCTTGAATTTTAGCTATAATCTTGTTCTGTAATCTAGCTGTGACACTTATTTTACAAGTTATGGAATTTCAGTTACTGAGGACTGAAAAACAGCAAAGCTGAAAACAACATTTCAGAGTAAAGACAGTCTCTTTGCTCTGTGATGTAACCCAGGACAGCTCCTATAGTTGATAAGGCCAACAACTCACAAACTTGACTACTTGTCCAAGGGAAAACCTGTGCACAATGAAGTGCTTGAAAATGGCAGACAGAGGAAACTGGATCTAATGAGGCTACTCAAAGCCTTTACCTTGGATTTGATCACTGAATATAATCTTGAGGTATGTGTATTTGACTGTAACAAAAGCCGCAGGAGAAAGACAGGATCAGGGGTTGGCATGAGAAAAAGGGCAGCCCTGTGCAGGGAAGGAGATGTAAGCTGCTGATGCCACCCAGAAGGGAAGGAAGCACCCCAGCCAGGTCTAGCTCCTGCAGCTGCTGCAGTTGGGCCTCCTTGGGTAACACTGCCTTTTACTGTCAGCACATCTTCAGCACTAACTCTTCCGTGCGTGTTATACAGGAGGTCAGATTAGAAGATCATGGAGGTCAGATTAGAAGATCATAACAGCCCCTTCTGACTGTAAAAATCTATGAATAATAATGAGGCTTTTCCTGGGGTAGAGAAAACACTCAGCAGCTGCTGATTCTTCTCACTATCTTCTTTAAAACAATGAAAAAAATATAAATCCAATGGTTATGGAAATTATTTGGAACTGAGTCTTAAAAGTAAAATTTGCAATAGCAGAACTGAATGATACTGACACTCTGAGCCTCTGATTCACTGTTCTGCCTACAAAGAGTGGAACAGATGTTGAGTCTTTTGTTTCCCAGACACCTGTGAAGATTTTTGATGTCCCTGTTGAACAACACATCCTGCTGTTCACCCCAAGAAGACTGGAGACATTCAATGTGATTTACGGAAACTATAAGTCTGCTGCTGCAGAATTTAGAGGAAAGGTTTGCAATGCTGAATGCTGCTTTGCAAATATGAATGCCAAAAGAGCAATGGAAAAACACTCACCAATGTTAATAGTGAAAGTACACTGCTGTCAGTCAATCTTCTAAGTCCACCAAACCATTTAAAAACAAAGCTGAAAAATAAACTTTACTTGAAAATGATTCTTTAAAACACAAGGGTCACACAAACCAACACTAATTCCAGCTGCTCCCAATAAACCTGCTTCTGATTTTACAAACATGACTTTCCAGGAGCAACTTCCAAGCAAATATAGTTTTAGCAAGGTTCTGGCAGTTTCTGTCACCACCAGGAAATGCCATGAGGATCTCGGGGTATTGCCTGAACCAAGAGCTGGAACCAGCTACAAAACGTGAGAAATATTCCAAGGCATCTGCATAGCCCTGCTTGCAGCACACGTTTGCATCTATATAAACACGTATAGGCAATCAGACATGGAAGTTTTTCAGTTTTCCATTGTCAGTCACTGGTGCTACTCCTGCTCCAAGTACATGAGGCACTGAAGAGTGGTAAGTCATCTTTTAGTGAAACATCACACATTAGTATTGGTAAAGACATATGGATTACAGATGTTTCAGCTGTTTTGTCCTGTTAAGATTTATTAGGAAGAGCAAGAAGAGCTTTGAGGGGTAACTTAGAAGTATTACTAAAATAGATGATAGCAAACCACTGTGAAAGGACAGAGGAAAAAGCTCCATTCCTTTTATCTGCTTTAACATTTGCTATTAACTAGGATCAAGGCATGACCAAGTCCACAGAGCTGCTGGTTGTTGGACTGAGACCAAAAAATGGTTCTACACAATTCCCTGCATTTAAGGTTAGATCCTAACCCACTGCCAAGCTTCATGGTCCATTTCTCTAAAATGGACAAAACTAAGCTGGAAGACTCAACCAGATGCATGACTCTTTTATCAGATGTTTGTCTTGGTGGATACTAGTGAAACAAGGTACGGACAAGTTTGAGTATTTTCCAGTCAGGGAGGTCCATGTTCCTGCCATGAGAATCTTAAATCTGACAAGTGACACAAAGTACAAAATGCCTGCAGATGAGGTGACGGTGGAGAACCTAAAAGAATTTTGCCAGAGCTACCTCAATGGAAAAGCAAAAGGTAGAACTGTGTGCTGTTCTCATCATCAGTTTATTAATTTACTCTCACTCTAATGTGTTCAACTGCAGTTGTTGACAGAGCATTGCTCTGTATTTAACAACTGAGGTGGACTACAAAGTTCTCCAGTACGCTATGTAAAAACTGGAGAAACCATTCATGGCCCAATATTTTAGTTGATTTCAGCTGATGTATTTTAGTGACTTAAAAACTCTGTAGGTCTCAATCTTTCCAATACTATAATGGAGATAATTCACTCCCTTACTTGGGAGAGATGCAAACAACAATTGCAATGGATTCTGAGGTTACAGAGAAATCCAGTAAATAGGAAACTGACAGCTTCAGAGTGGAGTAAGATTTGGTATTTGTCATAAGCAAGTTTAGCAGAGTGAATTTTCACAGGGGGGGATCATTCCTATGGTAAACACAGTATTTGTTGTCAGAATGAGGCATCATCCTCCACACTCGAGAAAAATACATTAAAATGTTTTGCTTATTCAGTGCTCTTTGGGGTAACTTACTTTTGTTTCCATCACGAGGAGAAAAGATGAAGCAGTCAGTCTGACAGCAGTCAGAATTTAACAGATTTGAGAGCCCACAACAGGGTAAGCTTTTCAGTAGTCTAGCTTCTGAACACTGGGCAACAAGAATTCAGGACAATGAATGCAAACGTGTTCCAAAGGGTCATTTTCAGACACTCTACTATGGAGTCTGTATTAAAAAGAGGGACAAATAATTCCACCTACCAGCTATGCAGGGGTGTGAGACCTCAGCTCCCTGCTGAAGAGAGGGAAGGTGGTAGCACATGAAGGCTGGTTAGGATGTAGAGATATCAAAAAAACCCTGTACAAAACCAGTGCACATCAGGCAGAGAAGCGTCCCATCGGTCTCACACTAGCTTGAGCTGGTGTACAGTTTCGCAGCACTGCCTGCACTTTCACAGAAGTGTTTCTCTTTCTGCTTAGCTACATCTCTCCAGTGAAGAAATTCCAGAGGACTGGGACAAAATGCCTGTCAAAGTGCTTGTTGGGAAGAATTTCAACAAGATTGTCTTCAATAAGACCATGACTGTTTGTTACCTTTTGTAAGTGTTATTGTTATACTCAGATTTTAAGTTGCTTTAACATGATCAATTGGAAGTGAATAACAAAACTCATGCTTACATACCAAACCAATCTTTGCACTTTACAGAAGCCGAGCCTAACGTATTTTTGTTGTCCGATGAAAGCATTGAAGAAAAATCTGTGTCATACATATGGAAACACTGTGATATCTTTGCTGACTTCAGGTTGCACTGAATAACACTGGATTCCTTAAGCAAATTGTCAAGGCTGTAACAGATCTCAGTGCTGAAAGACAAAATGACACTAGAACGTTACGTTGCACAATGGAACATTACAGAGGACTGTACAGTATGAGTCAGGCTGCCTTCCAAGGACAGAGGGAGAGTTAAGTGAGGTTCTTTGGTTATAACGCTCTAGGATTAAATCCCAGTGAGGAGCTGTGGTTCAGCAAATCGTAACTCCTCTTTTCCTCCTCTCTCTGCAAGGGAAGTGGCTTTCCTGCTTGACCCTTTACAGCAACAAGCCACTGTCCCATCCCTGTACCAGCCAGGAACTGAAGGAATTGAGCAGGAATTGAACCAAAGTCCTCTGGAAATGAAGGGCTGGTAAATGGGTTGTAGTGTATTCAGGAAAGTGCCCAAGAAATTTTAATTCCATCTAAACTGTGTACGAGCATAGTTCTCAGACTGAAGGATTGCAACCATGCTGTACACTATGCAAGGGGATACCGGGTTCTCAGCAGTTTTTTTTGCTAACCTGCAGGAGCACACTTCTCAGAGACAAACACCACCACACCTCAAACTCCGCTTTTTAGTGTAAATGTTGCCTAGTTTATGAATACAGTTAATTTTAGCACGCAGAAAGCATTTTGCGCTTCTGGCAAGTATTTCACCGTGGGAATGATGCAGGACTTACTTGGGTTGCAGTGGTTATCTGCCACACCTCTCCAGCAAAGTCATACGACAAGGGTCGTGTGCTTGTTACAGTCATAAAAGGCTAAAGAGAGCTAAAGCAGAGCTGCCATCAGAAATGCACTAGCTAGTTATCACTACATGAAAACTCATGAAATTCAAGAAGTTCAATGGTTTCAAGTAGAGACTGACCACAACCGAAATCCAAAACCCTGTTAACTTTAAGGGGGTGGGTGGGTGGGTGTGTGCGCGTGCATGCGTGTGTATCTACCCAACGGTCGATTCATTACTGTCAAGAACCTGAATTAGAGGAGAAACCCTTCTATCTCCTTCTCCTACGTGTGAGGCTGCGGCAAGACCCCATGTATCATCTACCAACTTGGACCTGCAAGTCATGACAGCCTTACATTCTGCTGTTTAACAACTTCCAACCTGCCTGCTGGGTTCTAGCATCAGTCTCAACTTGGAGTGAACTTACAGACACCTCCTGATCATTGCAGTGCCTTTTCACTTCAAACCATGACAAGAGATGCACAGTCACAGAACTACGCGGTGGCAGTTGTTTCTGGAGCAGGTATGACTATAGTCTCTAAAGTGCTGGTACTACTCTTGATATATCATCAACATTTTCATAAAACCCAAATGCCGAAACTTTCTTCTGTACAGTTATGCCAGTAATTTTACTTCATTCCAGTATCACAGCCTCAGCTGGGAATAAATATTTGCTGTCAAGAGCAACAATCTTTACAATATGCTACTTAATGCATCAGCTATGTTACACAACAATCAGAAAATGCTGCTGAAAAAGGAGGCAAAGAAAAATATTAAATAGTTACATTCCTCCATCTACGCAGATGATCTAATTAAAAGGAAAATATCTCTGAAGCAAAAAAAAATTAAATTCTAAGATACTTTTATAACTAAGACATTACTAAGCTTTTCATTTTTCTTCTTAGTCCTAAACTTAAATTAAATTCTAAGGCATTTGCCCATGTCCTCATTTAATCTTTGAGGGAGAGATTTTCCTCTCGGATGTGCACGCACAGCTTCTAATGAATTGAACTGCAGTCCTGCACACTCACACTGTGTTTAGTCTTTATGGAGAAAAGCAGAAACCCATTAAATGCTCACAATAAATGTAATTTTGTCAAAAACTATCAGTAACAACTGTCATTAACTATTAAGGGACTGTTTCATACTTACAAATACTCTGAAATTGAAGAGTATTTGAACTCTCAAGTTCTTCCTTGTGCACCATGTTTTTATACTAGTTCCCTCCACTTCAGAGATTTTAACTTGTACTTAACTACCAGTGCAGGTGTCCTGTAGGTGTCTGCAGTGGCTGACCCAACTGTTCTGGCCTTCTTTCTTACAGCACTACATGAACAGCTGTCCACAGACATCTTTACTCACTACAGACAATCATAAATGATCTCAGACACATTCGAGCCATTAATGCACAGTCAATGCAACAGCTCTCAGTCATTTCCTACCCAACCAGCAGTTATACTGGGAATTCTCCCAGGTATACTTCTCCTTTTCTAGAAGTTAACCAAAGTCAGACCACAGGATACAAATATAATATCACAAGGTGCCAAGGCTCAGAGTATCTACTGTGTTTTTCACTGTAGAGGCACTGCCCCAAAATTACAATCCCTACTCCCTTATTCTGGCTATGAAAAGAACAACAGAAGGGGCTTGAAGCCAAAGAGAAACTGCTACGTTCAGAATGAAGAAAAAGAGGAACATGAAATATATACATTCCAACAACAACGCCTGATGCAGCCTTGATTTCACACAGACATCTTTTCTAGCCTTCAGTATTTTGCTAGTGTTAGAAACACAAACACATGAGCTTTCCAATTACATCTACTGATCCTTCACTTTGTTTAAGGACTAAGGATGCATTGAACACCAGTGCAGAAGCAGCAGAAATACTAAAGATTAAGTAACTGTCAGAAGACTAGAAAACACATCAAAATGCATGTAAAGAAGTCTGAACCTGCTCCTGACAAACCAAGGGAAATGCGGCTAACAATATGACCCAAAGCTGTTTTCTAGAACTGAGTTATCGTGTTCCCTGGTCACCACAGACACCCTTACACCTCTTTAAAGGTAAACCCACGGGCAGAAACAATTAATATGCAGTCCCTTTCGAGCACTCTCACCTGATAAGATCATATCAGATATTACCCTCCGCCAAACAGAAGTAGCTGCTAGGTGTGCACCCTATGAAGTTTCCAGTGGACTGTCACTCTTTAGTCTGTTGAAAAACAGGTCATTAACTCCAGGAGAAGCTGAACAAGTCACTCTCTTACTTTCAGTGGATGCAAAACTAGACGTATGACAACATTTCTAAATCAGGAGCCACTTAAGGTTAACTGGAGTTAAGTTGAGCTGGATGAACTGAGACACCTGATCTGTAGCTGTGTATTTAAGTATGCACCCAGTTTTTCAAAGCACCAAGTGTTTCTATGCTGGGAACAGCTATAGCCAGAGCTGAAGGAGAGGGAATCTGATGAATTACATGGAGGAGGAAGTGACCAGGCATCATCTGAGCTCCATCTGTGAAGCTGATGAACAGCTCATCCACTGCGTCATCCACGCATTTTAAGAGAAAAACATGCAGTCTTTCAGACAGATTTAAGATGATTCTATTTGTTTCTATGGATTAAGTGAGAAAAGTAAATTTACATACCCTTATGCACTGACTATTCTATTGAGAGGTTCTGACACATATCCTCAATAACCGGTGCAAGGATCAGCTGTTTCTCTGGCTTTATAGGTCTTCAGACTCTGAGAAACTGCTGTTCCAGCCATCATCAGAGTTGACAAAATCAAGACTCATCTGAGAGTATTAATCACCTCTGGAGGAATTAAATAATCTTTGATCTCAAATCAGGCATAAGAGCAACCAGTGTAAAGTGACACAGCATTATCGGTTTCAGTGGAAGTCAGTCAGCTTAACCCAAGTGAGAATAGGCATCTGCCTATTTCTAAATATACTCAGGTAAGAGTAGACAATTCCCAATGTCAAGCACACAAGCTTCTACAACTTGTTGTTAAAAGACTTGTGCAAGATCCTTTCATACTTCCATAGAGTAAAGAAGGAGGGGGGAAATCTTTAAAATACAGTATGGTGCCTAGACCTACTCAGAGAATTTTAAAACTCTAAACTGAAAGTGCTTCTTCCATTAAGCTTTCTCAGAAGAAAATCTCAGTAAACATCCAAGTTAAGGTGAAGCATAAAAAAATTAATGTCACTGCTCACCTTCCTCCTGTTCTTTCAAGCTGTCCAACAGCTAGTATTTCCCAATTGTGTATTTCAAAACTTTTTCAGAATCTGAATAGCCATCAAAATCTTTAGACAGCTTTGAACATCATGGCTGGACACCTAAAAGACCCTGCTCTTCAAAATGCTTTGCAAATGTCTATTCTCAAACACAGAAAAGACACTGATGTCAGTAGTTGTCAGGATCCCAGGCTGGTATTACACAATAATGGTTATGTTTTTTATGTAAATCCTTTTCTTCTTAGGGATATACATCTATTTCTTCTTTACACTTGAGTTTCAGATGACATTGGAACCTGCTACACCTCTGCCATCAGTTTCTAAACTAAGCACAAAAGCCTAGAGTTTGGTCAGTCTAAAGAACTGAAATCCTGATTATGCTGTTACATCCAGCATTTTGCGTACAGAGTTAAATACTTAACTTTAAAACTCTCTCCAGGAGGTGGCCTATGCCAGTGAACATATCTTGGAGGCATTTTATTACTTCTTAGAAAAACAAAGCAAGACAAAAGCAGAACCAGGAGAGAAGGTAGGGATTTAATCCAGACTGATCTGCTGTGCAGTCCAAGTCATGTTCACACCTTGTACGGGCATACCTGGACTGGCTATGGCATAGCCACACGTACGGGCTTCAGCCCCTGCTCACGTCAACACCTGGGCAGTTCTTCCCGGCTCTTAGCTGGTTTCAGGCTGACTAGCTTGGCATGAGCATGATAGCTGCAGTCATATACCACCGCCTGGCAGGCACACGCCCACTCACATCCTTGTTTTCATCACACAAAAACCTCTTCTCCCACTGCTCATGTTATCACTGATTCACGACATTAACACTCTGGTAGTACTGCATGGCAGAAAAGAACCTGCACTGTGACAAGTGTAAGCAAAACACTGTCAGGATTTTAGCTGGAAAAGTCCCAGCTAAGTTATTTTCAGCTATAGCTGGAGTGGTTCAAATAGCCATTGCCCACCTCATCCTGCTGCATTCGGCGTGGCTTCTCTTCTTCATAAAGCAAGGGCACAACTGAGAGCTGACATTGTCCCCTCTCTTGGCAGTCTGGTTATGATTATGGTCTGATTCCTCAGCCCTTTCTCCTCCACTATAAATCAGACCAGATAAGCATTACCTGTCCCAGATCAGCCTGTTATTTAATCTCAGACACTTCTCTCCAAAAAGACATCCTGTAAGTGAACAATGTGATCAAGCTTCACACAAACAGCTCCAAGCAACAGGAAAAACCTTGACACATAGATGGAAATACATCCAGCTCGTATGAGAGTCATGGGTCCATTCTGCCTACAAGTGAAGAAGTAGATCCACAGGGTAGCAACAATTATCATTAATGCTTTTTTCAACTAACAGGGAACCCATCTGTGGGTGAAGAAACTCTTTTTGAGTTTTCAGACTTATTTTCACCAGGGTCTTTGATTTGCTCCTGAATTCATTGCTCAAATAGGTGGTTATAAATGGAAAGAGATGAATAAACTAATATTGGGACACAGAAGCCTGCAATGAAGGATCAGACATCGAGCTCTGCCCAGTCATTGCACTCTTCTGTTTTCCAATACCCAAAGCCTACGGTTCATGTCTGCCTCTGTTGCATGTTCTTTAGTGATGTATTTGAAGCAGATACTGTTGAGTCCTACACACAGTCTTTTACATACAATGTTAGAGCTGTGTACATTCTGTCATCTCGTCTTTGTGCTTTATTTCATATTAAAGAATAAGTTAAAAAGCCAGTTTAGGAATCACCATTCAAAAACACGCTCTGTGTAGCAAAAGGGCTAAGAAATTGGCATTTGCTCATCTGTTCACATTCTCCGTCCTCACCTGACACCAAACACATTTTCCCAGAAGGCTGCAATATTAGACCGTTTGCAGTACAGTACTTGACGGGAAGTCCTCTGTTGGACTAACTCTTCAGCCTCACCTCAGGGCATTCACAAACACACAAGACAACTAAGAAGGTAGTTTCTTTTAAAATTGCCTAGGAAAGACTGTCTCATGCCCTTCAGCTTACCAGACACGGTTTTTCAAGTTCTCATTAAACCTTCACACAAAGCCTCATCTAAGCTTTGCCGTAAACCAGTGCAAAGGTTTGAAAACAAAACACATTTTAGCAACAGCTGCACTACTTCTGACCTCATGAGCAAGCCCTCAAGTTCCTTAGTTGAAAACATAGAAGTCTGCATTTCATATCATCTTAAAAATTGTTCTGGAGGCAAAGAATTAGTAGAGCAATTCTGTTTGCTTTGTTCTTGCATTTCCTTTTTAAAAGGATCCTGCAGGAGGAATCAAAGAGGATCTCAGCCAAAAAAGAGACTGTAGCAGCAGCTCCCTCCTCTGTCCCAGTAACATCACCTAGAAGGGGAAAAGGAGCTTAAAGTTACACAGGGAAACTGTAGCTTCCAAGTCAGCATGGCAGATCTGAGAGATGCGGCACGTTCCTTCACTTGTAATTGTGAACCACAGCTATCATTTAAAGCTAAATTCTTCTTTGAAGATAGCACGCAAAGTTTAATTCTCATGTTTTCAGAACAGAGCAAATTTTTGCTAGAACTGCAATACAGTGCAAACCAAACCAAGGTCTCACTTAGCGGCAAGAGGAAAATGTGGGATACCAGATACCAGGGTGCTGGTTTTAAAGAGATCAGTTTGCTGTAGGTGGAAACTCCTACTCCAGCTGGACAGTGTGGGATGCAGTTAACAGTAAGTGTTTCTCAGCACCCTTGTGAAGAGGACTTTACATAGAAATATCACACAGAAACCATGACTTGTCAATTCAACCACTGAGCTATGCCAACTGTTTCTATTGCACACAACTGAAGAAGCCAATTCTCCTTTGGACATCAAACAAGAGTTCTCTTGGATGCTGACAGAAAGGGCTTGCACAAAGTAAACCTGATCAGCACTGGATGTTGGGTTTCATCTAACTTTCATTTAACATTGTGCATTCATTAACAAACAGAAGCCCTCATTTGATATCCTGGGAGATCAGATTAGAAAGCGAATGAGATGAACAGAGTCCCAAAGAGAGGGAAGTGTCGGCGTGCCTTCCCTTTGCTGCTTGCAACATGATGAAATTTGAATGGCAAGCAGTGCCACCAATATATTTTGAACAACTATGTAACACAGAAGCTAGAATCTTTTAATTAGTTTCCCCACAGAAAAATGGAGCAAGCAATGTTGAGCACTACTCTGTATCTGGCAGATGGGTTTACCATTCAAGATAATGAAAAAAAATTAATTTTTCACTGTGCCTACCCACTGTATACAAGACTCAATCCTGAAACTGCTATCTATCCTATTATAAGGTGCAAGATTACATACTAATGAAAACATGTGCCATCTCGGCAAATGATGTTCTCATTTCTATTCCAGCCACTCTCAGATGTTGTGTCAAGACAAGGGGCCAAGTGCAGACTCACATGCCATGCCCGGACACATGACTAGATTTGCCAATCTACTTTATAATGCATCTCGTAAAAGCCTGCCTGAAAGGCAAGCCCTCCTGAGCTAGAAAGTTTGTCTCGTACACTGTCTGGGGTGGGTCGGGTTTCTCCAATCCTCAGCCACGGCAGGACATCCCCAATGTGCCAAGCAAGTGGCCTTGCGCAGTGTTTCATTTTCCCTCTGACCCAAACCAGTTCCGGAATATTCTCCTGGAACAAAAACTTAGAAGCGGGTTATCTGAATCTGGGTAAAACACCACCAACTCACTTCCCCTATCGTGCCAACTTCTCTCAGTTTTCTAAACAAAACTTGTGACACTGTCAGTAGTTTCTCCCCAACTGTCACAAGCAGAACTGAGCCCTGAATGGCCAAAACAGAATCACTTCCTCAAGCTCTGCTACGTCAAACACTACTTCTTTTATTTTAGTCTAAACATGAAGTGAATCTGTTTAATTTTGAAGAGTATATCATTATAACTGTGCTCAGACATTCCAAAAATTGTTTAAAAAAATAATCAATGTTTATTAGTCAAATTTGTTCCTGTAAATGAATACCAGTATTTTGAATGCACCAGTCATATAAAAAATCTCCTCACGCACATAAATAAGCCCCATCATTTAAGACTGACAAGACTAAGTAAAGAGCTATCAATGGGTGCTGACTGCAGAGCTGGTTTAATCTGCAGTGTCAAGATGGCTTGGTTATCAATATGGAGCAGTGGAAGCAACACTTCCAGCTAGGAATCTAAAAAAACCCTCACAAACTACATATGAAGAATAGCAAAGTTTAATACAAAAAAAGAGGGAAATCTAAACCATCCCCAAGAAATGCTGACTTGTTTTTTACTAACTGGCAGCCTATCCTGCCTTAAAATACAAGCTTTGAGCACCTTGCAGATAGCAATTCATCTCATTAAGGTCTTTTCTTAAATCCTAGGGAAGAAAAACATGGTTCAGAATTGACAATCATTCATAAATGCTCAGATGTGTAGGAAAAATAATAAATCCTGAAGAGAAATGCAATAATTCTTTTCATCTTTACAACAGTTTCATCCTAGCTTAACTCCCCTGGAATTACTCTCAGCTGGCACCAGCATAATCTCAGAAACAGAAACACAATACATTAAAAGAGATTAATACAAACGCACAACAAACGCACTGACTGTTGAAAAAACTCATACGGAAATGGCATAATTGCCATAAATCAAAAGGCCTGGCTTGGAGGCCAGAAGGTTGGTTTTGTAGATATACATGTATGTGGTACATGATTGAAGACTGATAAAACGGCCAGAGGAAGATGTCTAAATCCCATATTTCAGGCACTTAATTCAAAGATTTAGATTGTCAAATTTCACATTAGGAAGCCTTTAAACCCTGTCTTGCCTTTCTCTCGTACTCACTCCCGATAGCACATACAGGGGAGCTTGCTCCAAGGTCACAATGATTTCATATAGAAATGTTAACAAAAAGGAACAACTCATACTTTAACAAAAACATGCTATTGTGTAAACTCAAGTGGAGTTTGGCTGATGGAAATTACTCAGTTCAGATGTTTAAAAGTCCTGCTTTGCATAATCAACTGTGAGAGGGGGAAGGAGGTTGTGTTCATTTAAAACTTTAATTTGGGAAATGCTTTAAACCCATCTGTCCCCTGGGCTTGTGGCCACGCTACTGCATCTGTGCATCCAGAGTTCCACAGAAACTGTCAGTCATTCACTCAAGTTCACATCCAATCTGGAGGGCTTCCAGGTGGATTCCACTGCTCACGTTTCATACTTGATGCACTACACTTGGGAACTAATGTGACTGAAAGGCCAAACCAAATTCAGCTCTTTCATTAGTCTCAGAGGAGGCAGCTGTTTCTCACGGGGCAGCACTGGACCAAAAGGAACACACACTGCCCAATATGTCCTCAGTTTCCAGTTTCTGAGAATCACCTTCAGAAATATTTGCTTCACAAAAAAAACCTGACATAGTAAAAAAGCCTTTCCAGCCCTGCTGCCCACCCCTCCCGGGGGGGATTTACTGAAGGGGGACCTCACCATTAGCACGCTGGATCTGTGTCAGCACTTACACACC